GTCTCAGGGGATTTAGGGGGGCTGGGGGGTCTCAGGGTGATTTGGGGAGGGTCTCGGGGGTCCCGTGACTCACAGAGGAAGTCGGAAAGCCAATCTGGCTGGTCGTAGTGAACGATAGCAACACACAGGGTGTTGAGCACTGATAGGGGTCCCCTTGGGGGATTTGGGGTCTCAGGGGATTTGGGGGTGCTCGGGGGGTCTCAGGGTGATTTGGGGAGGGTCTCGGGGGTCCCGTGACTCACAGAGGAAGTCGGAAAGCCAATCTGGCTGGTCGTAGTGAACGATAGCAACACACAGGGTGTTGGGGAGCTCTGGGGGATGGATCTGGGCTTCCCCGGGGGGATTTGGGGGTTTGGGAGCTCGGGGGGTCTCAGGGTGATTTGGGGAGGGTCTCGGGGGTCCCGTGACTCACAGAGGAAGTCGGAAAGCCAATCTGGCTGGTCGTAGTGAACGATAGCAACACACAGGGTGTTGGGGAGCTCTGGGGGTCTCAGGGGGGATTTGGGGGTGCTCGGGGGGTCTCAGGGGGTTCCAGGGAATTTGGGGTGATTTGGGGAGGGTCCCGGGGGTCCGTGACTCACAGAGGAAGTCGGAAAGCCAATCTGGCTGGTCGTAGTGAACGATAGCAACACACAGGGTGTTGAGCGCTACCAGACTGAGCACGGTCCAGTAGAAGGCCTGAGTTTTCACCATGCGCCGGATGTGGAAGCGCACGCGCCGCTCCCGCCGCCCCAGGAACGTGGCGCTCTCCAGCTTGGCACTTTTGAGGCTGGCACGGGCGAAAGGGGACCCTGGGGGACATCCCGGGCACGGGGTCACCTCCGGGGCACCTCGGGGTCAGGGGGGGTGGGCTGTGTCACCCGGGGGCACCCGTGTCACCTGTGTCGCCTCAGGGTGAGCTGTGTCACCTGTGTCAACTGTGTCAGCTGTGTCACCTGTATCACCTGTGTCAGCTATGTCACCCGTGTCACCTGTATCAGCTGTGTCACCTGTATCAGCTGTGTCACCCATCCGCCCCCCAAAAACCATCCCTGTGTCACCTGTGTCAGCTGTGTCAGCTGTGTCAGCTGTGTCACCCGTGTCACCTGTGTCACCTGTGTCACCTCAGGGTGAGCTGTGTCACCTGTATCAGCTGTGTCACCCATCCGCCCCCCAAAAACCATCCCTGTGTCACCTCAGGGAGCCCCTGTGTCCCCTGTGTCACCCCTGCCAGCGAGCTGTGTCACCTGTATCAGCTGTGTCACCCATCCGCCCCCCAAAAACCATCCCTGTGTCACCTCAGGGTGTCCTTGTGTCACCTGTGTCACCCATGTCAGCTGTGTCACCTGTATCACCTGTGTCAGCTGTGTCACCCGTGTCAGCTGTGTCACCCATCCACCACCCAAAAACCATCCCTGTGTCACCTTGGGGTGTCCTTGTGTCACCTGTGTCACCTCGGGGTCAGGGGATCAGCTGTGTCACCCATGTCACCCGTGTCACCCATGTCACCTGTGTCACCTGTATCAGCTGTGTCTCCCATCCACCCCCCAAAAACCATCCCTGTGTCACCCGTACCACCCCCGATGTCCCCAGCGTCACCCACCCATGCCCCTGATGTCCCCAATGTCACCCACAGTGTCACCCACCCATGGCGGCGATGTCC